GGGGAACAAATCTGCCAGAGGGTGACAAACCCCTGTCACTGTCCCCAAAACAGAGCGGACAAACCTGTGAGAGCGAGTGACAAATCTCTGTCACTGTCCCCAAAACAGCAGGGGACAAACCAGTGCCAGCAGGTGACAAACTGGTGTCAGTGTCCCCAAAACAGTGGGGACAAACCCCTGTCACTGTCCCCAAAACAGAGCGGCCAAACCTGTGAGAGCGAGTGACAAATCTCTGTCACTGTCCCCAAAACAGAGGAGACCAAACCCTGTCACCATTCCCAAACCAGCAGGTGACAAACCAGTGTCACTGTCCCCAAAACAGCAAGAATAAATCTCTGTCACTGTCCCCAAATCAGCAGTGACAAACCTGTGCCAGCGGGTGAAAACCTGTGTCATTGTCTGCAAAACAGCGGGTGACAAACCCTTGTCACCATCCCCAAAACAGTGGGGACAAACCTGTGCCAGAGGGTGACAAACCTGTGTCATTGTCCCCAGAACAATGGGGACAAACCCCTGCCACTGTCCCCAAGCCAACAAGGGACAAACCTGTGCCAGCGGGTGACAAACCCCTGTCACCATCGTCCCCAGAACAGCAGGTGAAAAATTCCTGTCACTGTCCCCAAAACAGAGGGGACAAACCCCTGTCACTGTCCCCAAAACACCAGGTGACAAACCCCTGTCACTGTGCCCAAAACAGCAGGGACAAACCTGTGCCATTGTTCCCAGAACAGCAGGGACAAGCCTGTGCCAGCGGGTGACAAACCCCTGTCACTGTCCCCAAAACACCAGGTGACAAACCCCTGTCACTGTGCCCAAAACAGCAGGGACAAACCTGTGTCATTGTTCCCAGAACAGCAGGGACAAGCCTGTGCCAGCGGGTGACAAACCCCTGTCACTGTCCCCAGAACAGCAGGGACAAGCCTGTGCCATTGTTCCCAGAACAGCAGGGACAATCCTGTGCCAGCGGGTGACAAACCCCTGTCACTGTTCCCAGAACAGCAGGGACAAGCCTGTGCCAGCGGGTGACAAACCCCTGTCACTGTCCCCAGAACAGCAGGGACAAGCCTGTGCCAGCGGGTGACAAACCTCTGTCACCATCGTCCCCAGAACAGCAGGAGGGGACAAACCCATGTCACCATCCCCACCCTGGTGAGGACAAACTGTCCCCGTGCCGGAGGGGGACACAACTCCCCGTGTCACTGT